TAATATCTAATTTCTTACTATCTCTTTATAATTATTATAATTAACCTCTCTAGTATATAGTAAATAGGTTTAAGAATAAGAAATAGAAAAAAATATATAGTTCTTATTATAATTCTTAACTTATCTACTACTAATAGTGTGTAGATAAAGCTACGTAATCTCTACCTAAAAAGTAGTAGACGCTTTTAAATATTACTAATTTCTCTATTCTTAACTCTCTCTTCTTTTTTCTTTAGAGGCTAAGCTCTTATACTATAGTAGAATAGACTATAGTAACTTCTACCTTACGACTCTAGAAGAATCTCTTCTCTTATAATCTCTTCTCTATATCTAGTATACTATTTACGCTATAGTCTAATACTATAACTAATACCTAGCTATCTATCTCTACTAGTAACTTACTAACGTTCTCTTAGTAAGACTTATTAAGTTAGTACTCTTTCTCTACTCTTCTCTTATTCTAATAGAACTTTTAGTAAGACTTATTAAGTTAGTACTCTTTCTCTACACTTCTCTTATTCTAGTAGAACTCTTAGTAAGACTTATCTACTTAGTTCTTACTCTTAGCGCCTCTATCTTCTTAGTAGAGCGTATAGTACTAATTTTTATTAGATAATAATAAACTTACGCTAGATAACTTTACTATAGCTAAGGTAGAAGTAAATACTTAACTATATAATATACTAACTTTACTTTCTATTCTAGATTCTACTTATCTTAATTTTCTATAAGAACCTATAATATCTAAATAGAATAAGGCTCTAATTACTACTTTCTATAAGTATCTAAATAAGATCTAGCTAGAGATCTATAATATCTATAACTATTACTAGTTTAAGCTAGGTGTTTAGAGAGAAGAGTATAGAAGCTACTAAGATAATTAAGTAAAGAACTTAGAGAAGCCTAGCTATATACCTCTATAGAGTTTAGAAAACTATCTTAATTCTAGACCTATGCCTACTACTCTCTCTACTCTTACGTATATTAAAGAGATGCTTATTATCTATATTTATATCTTTATAGAGATTTAGTAGTACTAAGGTATCTAGTATAAGTATTAGAGATATATTTACTACTTCTCTATAAATATTAGTAAAGTATTTAGTAAGCTTCTACTTCTTTCTTAGAACCTTAATATTATTATTCTAAAGCTCTCTACTAGTAAGTAGAATAACCTAGATACTATTAACTAGTAATTTAAAAAAGACTATAAAGTCTATTAACTCGTTATTCTTATCTAGCTTTAGTACCTAGTTAAGTACTACCTAGGCTATTAAGATATTAAGATTAATAAAGACGCGCTCTAATCTCTCTCTATTAATAGTTTTATTAATAATAGTCTTTCTATAGTTAAGTATAGTAACGTAGATTCTAAAGATAGTAATAGTTCTTCTCTATTATTCTTACTTAAGCCTAATACGTTAACTAATACTAACGTTTAGAATACTAGTATACTACTTAGTAGTTCTATAAAAGATTTCTAACCTACTATATCTAGCTAAATACTAGAGAATAATAGTAGTTATTATAGAAGTTCTATATTCGCTAATAATAGTAATAGTAATAAGAAGAACCTTTCTTCTAAGACTACTACTATTCTAAATATTATTCTAGATATAGAAGAGTTTAAAACTCTATAGTAGTAGATTTAAAAGACTACTAACTACGCCTTCTTATCTATAGAGTCTATTTATTATATACTATTATTAGAGTTTAATACTAAGAAGCCTCTCTTAAGTCTAGCGTTTCTATCTCTTTTTTCTAATAGAGCTACTAAGTATAATAGTTTAACTTAGCGCTATAGCCTAACTTAGCTTTACCTAAGTTATATAATTCTATCTAGCGCCTTAGTATAGGCACTCTATGTATATAGAGAGCTCTTAAAGTATTCTTCTACTTCTTACCTTTAGATAGCTAAATTTAACTTAACCTACTCTGCTAGCGTTTCTTATTCTTATAGCTTATAGAGATAGTGCTGCCTATAGCTAACTTACCTAGCTAGATATTCTAGAACGCTTATAGTAGTAGAGACCGCGAAGCTAGCTCTTATATTATCTAAAGGTTATTACCTCTTTAGCTAGAGACGGTAGTATAATATTAGGCTAAACTAAGTAGCCTTATAAGAAGCGTTTACTAATAGCTATACTAAGAATTAGAGCTACAAGAGCCTAATTACTTACCCCTCTAGCGCTATATAAGACTACTAGCGAATCTAGAAGGTAGTAGAAAGACACTCTAGTAGCAAGCTAAAGAGAGCTATTAAGAGCTCTATGTACAAGAGAACTTCTACAGAACTTCTACGTATAGAAACCTCTTCCCTCCCCTCCCCCCCCCTCTCTTTTTTAAAAACTAACAATCCTCTGCTCCGCTAGCAGAGCTAACAACTAGCTACTCTACTAGCAGCTAACAACTCTCTGCTCCGCCAGCAGAGCCAACAACTAGCTGCTCTACTAGCAGCTAATACCTCTCTCTTAAACAAAGATTAAGGCATATAAAAGGGAGAAGACTCTACAGAAGACAGTAGAGAGTTTAGAGCCTATACAGGTAGGAGAAGACAAGAGGGCAACACGTAAGCGTTACTAAGTAGAAGCAAGAGCCTTAGGGCTTAAGAACGAGCTCTCCCTGTAAGGGGGGGTAATATAACGGTCTAACTTAGCGCTACGGCCTAACTTAGCTTCGCCTAAGTTACATAACTCTACCTAGCGCCTTAGCATAGGCACCCTGTGTATATAGAGAGCTCTTAGAGTATTCTTCTACTCCTTACCTTTAGATAGCTAAATTTAACCTAACCTACTCTACTAGCGTCTCTTATTCTTATAGCTCGTAGAGATAGTACTACCTACAGCTAACTTACCTAGCTAGGTATTCTAGAACGCTTATAGTAGTAGAGACTATAAAGCTAGCTCTTACACTAAGTTTATATACTTACGTATATAAGATGTTAATTTTAATAACTACGTACGCTAACGTACTTTACAAACAAACACCCTACATAAACGAACGCCCTAAAAATGCTAAGCCTAAGAATTAACAAGTATTTCTTAAATAACTAAGCAAAACCTTAATATATTTCTATAAAAATTTAAATATATATTAATCTACACTATATACACCTACTATTAAATTTACACTATATATTTTCTATTACGTAAGCTTAAAATAAGTCTTTTCTAAAAGTAGCTATTCTTAGAGTTTAAACCTTATAAGAACTAGTAAACTATTATAATAATCTATAAAACTTTAAATATATATTATATAGTATAGTATAAAGTCTTTTATAAGGTTTAGTAGCGTCTAGCTTAGTAATATCTATCTATTTCTAGAAGAAACCTCTAAACTTCTTATTAGAGACTCTTTAAGTAAATATCTCTAGTACCACTAAGCTAAACGCTACTAAACTTTATAGAAAGCTTTATACTATAGTATATAATATATAATTAAAGTTTTATAGATTATTATTAAGGTTTACTAGTACTATTAAGATTTAAACTTAAAGAATAGCTACTTTTAGAAAAAGGCTTACTTCTAGCTTACGTAATAAAAAATATATAGTACAAATGTAATAAAAGGTGTATATAGTATAGTTCTATATATATTTAAAAGTTTATAGAAAAATATTAAGGTTTCGCTTAGTTATTTAAGAAAAACCTTTTAATTTTCCTAGCTTGGCATTTTTGGGGCGTTCGTTTGTGTGGGGCGTTCGATTGTAAAGTACGTTAAGGCAAATAAATAACTTAAAAACAACGTTAAGACCTCTAAAAGAGGTAAATAGAGGGCTTCTACACCTTCTCCTAAGTTCTCTGTTAATAAGGAGGATGTTGATGTAGATTTCTTATCGATTGTAGATGTGGCCCTCACACCAGCCAGATCACGCCGCACCCGCAAAATAGAGCTCCTAAAACGCTTCTGTACATAAAAAACCTTATAGGCGCCTTTAGGCAGCTTCTCTAATTGCTACACTAGAAAATCTCGTGATTTTACAGTATATATGTGGTTGTAGAGCCTCAAAAGTTCTCGGGTGTAGGCATCCGAAATCGTGCATGCGGTAGGGCCGTGGTGGTGAGCCACAGTATTGCTTGATACGTTGCTTTTACGTTGAGACTTGGCTACGGCTGTTCACATTCTCAATTCCAACCCCGCACCCATCTGCTGACGATCATCAACCTCAGCTGGGCTTGTCTAGCAGTTCCAGATATGGAATTTTTAGGCGGTGTCTATCTGTTATCCGAAGCGAGCCTTTTGGGTAGCGAAGCTTGCCGCGAATTGTTAGTGTGGTCTCATTTCCTTACTTTTCCTCGTGCGCCCGTTGCCTAGATATGAGCTGATGTATATAATTGCCGATGCCCTTGTCCTAGGGTTTAATAATTAAGCCCACCGATCCCTACAGGAGCTTCTGTCCAAGCTTGATTACGCAATTCGAGTCGCTAATAGATTTATGTGAGTTTGTCGGAACTAGTCACACCAACAGTGAAATCGTTTCCAAAAGATGGACCCACCGAATTATCCAGTCCATCATACTTGCGACTATTGTGAGGTGCTTATCATCAATAGGGCTCGCGTTGAAGCTATGTGGAGGGACGGCTTTCTCATCGACTTTGACACAAAATTCACAGTTTTTGATTGTCTCCTAGCAGCATCGGATGGGTGTGAGTTCATGCAGTTTATCGTTGAGTTCATTATCTTAGAGTATGGAGAACCGAAACTGGTTCCGAACGAGCAAAATGGACCTTGGTTGTGGGCAACAACGTACTGCAGAGTCCTCGACGAGATGACTCACTTGTCTTTCCACTTCAGTTCCATCAAGCCACAATGCGTTGATTCAGAATTCGGTGCTTTTCGGTCATGGCAGAGGAGTGTATGTATGCCTGCCAACCGATGTCGCCGCTAACATCAGCGTTATAGCAAATGTTGCCGGCAAAGACCTACAAAGAAATCCAGTATGTTGCAACATAGGCTCGGCGCGGGCTTTCGACTTTGTCAAACGCCGGATAAAGGACTGCATGGAAAAGCACCGTTGCCAGTCAGCGTTTCAGAACACGAAGCCTTTCTGTCCGAAAAGATTGGTCGAAGTCGCAAGCGAAAATTCGCCCGCAAGATTACGTGACGAATGGGAGCTCCCTACGGAGTTCAGAGCCTCCCCGGAATATTTGTGTCTTAGTTACTGTTGGGGTGGCGATCAAGCGTTCAAGCTTAGGAAGGGCAAGGTGATGGACACGTACCGGGAAGCCCTACCATACGATCACCTTCCACAGACGTTGAAAGATGCTCTCACTGCGACCAAAAGCCTCGGCTATCGCTACATCTGGATAGACTCTCTCTGCATCATACAAGACGACGAGCAGGACAAAGTGGAACAGCTACCGCTCATGCCAGCCATATATGAAGGGGCGACGGTAACCATCGTAGCCGCGAGAGCATCTAGTTGTAGGGAAGGCTTCCTGCAGCCGCTCAAGCCATCTTTTGTATACCCTAACGGAACTTTCTTTTTGCCGTATCGTCGCTGGTCTGGAGAGATGGGTAATGTCGTCTTATTTCACCCGCGGAGGAAGGGTGTAGCCACGGTGGAACGGCCCGAAGATCCTGTTGACTCTCGCGCGTGGATATTGCAAGAAGAAGTCTTGTCTCCACGTCTCATCGTTTACGGGTCAACAGCACTATGGTGGTCATGTCCTTGTGAAAGAAAAGTTCCCTACCGTTTTGCGGGTAAGGACAATTGGCCGTTGTGGGAGGATCCGCCTGCCTTGTGCTCGAGATCTCTCAGCATAGGATTTCTTCGTGGGTCCAGCGTGAACCCTTTTTACGACTGGGCCAAGATCATCGAAATATACTCCAGGCGTCAGCTTACAATGCCGGATGACAAACTAGTAGCGGTAGCAGGTCTGGCCGCGGCCTACGCAAGAAGCGCAGACAACATCTCTGAAAAGCTTGAGTACCTGGCCGGCATATGGCGACATACTCTACCATACGGTTTGTTGTGGAGGGTGGATGATCACCGTCATCCGCGTCCCGTCATGTACCGAGCTCCCACGTGGTCGTGGGCTTCAGTCAACGGAGAAATCAACTATCAGACGATACCAAGGGAAAAACCAGATTCCGTATCCCAGGCGAAAGTGTTGCAATGCACGGTGGAGCCTCGCTCAGCAGATTTTCGTTATGGCGCCATCGCCTCTGGTACACTCAAGTTCGATGGCGTAATCAGACACGCCTATCTTGTTTCGATTGTTCCGGAGGCTCACATTGTCCCCGTGGAGGTCCCGTGTAAGCCGTTGCAACCTTCTCCTCTCTGGTGTGTCTGGATGCCATGGAAGCCTACAGCAGCAGAAGGAATCACGGTGGTGTGAAGGACATTGATATCGTGTGCTTTGAGGTCTATGGCATCGAAGGTTTAATTCTGGTCCGGGAAGACGATGTACACTTCAGGCGAATTGGCTACTATTCGCTGTTGGATTTGAAAGTGTGGCAGCAGTGGGAGGAAAGGGAGGGCTTACCCGCGCAGCTCAGCTGGGCGGCGCCTGGCTCAAGAGGAACAGCATGCATAATCTAGTAATGATTACACCACTCCGTCTGATCTTCGTATCTAGATACTATCTGAGTTTCGACTACACCGTAATAAAAGGGGAGCTGTACAAACACGTCGCTCCCTTCGAGGCACTATGCTGAACTCTCTAGAAGGGTTCTATTGCATATATGCGCGCGTGTATGGGTAGTAGAGAGTCGCCCAAGTATGGCCCCCGTCGAGCAAATATGCCCCTAAGACCGCTCGGACCAGTCAGCATTGCGCAAGAATGCCCCCAGGGGTATACTTGCGGGGATACATACGGATAGGTTCGTGAGACCGCGCGCTCCAGAGAGAATGATGGCAGTCTCAAGCTGGGTGGGCGGGTTCCGTGCAGTCAGAGGGATTCGTCCAAGGCTGAAAAACTTATTGCTCTCTTTGAGCCTGTCCCCACAAGTACTGAAAGAATATTGAGGTGATAGAACGGATTCATGCAGTCAAAAGAACTTGCTGCATCCAACGGGATCTCACCCCTCCCCACTTTCAACCCTTCCATGGACACGCGGCGGGTCGCCCGACTTGTTCTCCTCCAGCCACTCCACAGTCGTCTCCCAATCCGCCCTCAAGTCATCCTTGCCGAGGGAGACCACGTAGACTTCGTCATTCGGCGTGTGTCTATTTTTCTTCAAATATATCGTTACCATACTCCGGTCAAACGAGGCGCCCTTCTGCTTCTGCACCACCTGTTGAAAAGCCTCGAAGAAAACCTCACCGGGCGCACACAAATCAAGCCATAAATTAAAACGCAACGCATCCCACTCCAGGTTCAGCCTGACTTTATTGGTGACGATGTTCTGGTCGACATTTCGGCCCGAAGCGGAAGTGGCCACAGAAGGACGGATTGGCTGTGGGTGTTCAATGTGTGACGTAGGAGACCCAGGTGCGATACCTGCAGGAGAATGCTGCGAGAGCCGGGACGTTTCCACGGCTGCGCCATGCGCGTGCGCAGATGGATGGTGACGGTTTGCCAGATTCTCAACGAATTGATGCACTAGATGTTGTTGTTGCATGGGGGTTGTGGGGCGGGAACATTCATATGCCAGGCTCGAGCGGTGAAAGGAACGCGCGAGTGGTGGTGTTGGTGCGGTCGGGTGCTTGTTTGGATCGTACTCTTCGAAGCCGCAGCCCCGCCCGTGCTGTAGGTGTGGAGTGGTGGGCGGTGGATGCATGGGCGGTGAATACACTAATCAAAGTACGCCCGATCAGTTTGAAAGCCTAGCACAGTGGCTGGGGTAGATACACACCTGGCGCGTCCTCACCAGAGTCTTCGTAGCCTAGAAGGATGTCTATATCGAGGACGTTTTTAGGTACGATGTAGAATGTGGTGTTGTGCGTCGTATTGGATTGCGGCCGGCGCCATTGCAAAGTAACGCATTCCGACACTAGCACTTGGATATGAGCATGCGGGGCTGCATTATGCGGAACGGAAACAGTATATTCTTCCGCTGTGCTGGTGGCGATGTTGTGTCTACGGGCGACTTCTTCCCGCATCACACTATGCTTGATTGGCGCGTTTCTCATTTTGGCAGCCCTCTCTTCGACGCTCCTTTCAGTAATGACGATAAGGACTATGTACTCTCCAGAACCGCCTTCGTCTTTAGGAGTATGCGATATCACGGATGATGCTGTTCTCGTACTGGGAGGGCTGAGAGGTGCAAACGGTCTTGCATTTGACGAAGCGCGACGTCGCGGTGTGTGGCGCGGAGGAGGGGATAAAGAGGCGCTGGATTCGCGAGAGGATGATGGTCGGGACTGTCCAAGTCGTCCAATGGTGAGATTGAGCCCACTGGAAGGGCTGTAGGTATCTTGCGGCGAGGGCTCCTGCTGTTGGACAGCGAGGTCCGTCGTGATCTCACGCAGGATTGCGTCGTCCTCACAGCACCTCACGAGGAGATCCACGGCTTTAGTGTGCCATTGTCGAACAAACCGATCGACTAATCCGCGTAGCTCTCGTTGAGCAAGGCGCTCCATGCTGCGGGGTCGAAGCACTGTCGTCGCCTTGTAGGGGTGTCGCTAAGTGGCTTCATTATCGCTAACATTGTCGCGCATGATGGTGATGAAGCAGTCGTTGCGCATGTGAGATGGGATTCGGTCTGCGCGCGATGAGGGGTGTGGGACGGTGCCTTGCCGCAAGGGGTCCACGACGACTCCACTCTATCACCCGAGTCATGCGACGCATCTCGCCTGACCTTAAGCCTTGCCTCTCCGGGTTGACCGGGGCGCACTTGACAAGGCTGAGCGACGCCAGGGCGTGGACAAACCATTGAGCTCAGCCCAGTTCTTTACGTCGCGCTAGCAAGGTAATATTCGGCTGGGTCGAGGGTGATTCGTTGGATAAACAGCCTTTGTCTGCCTTGGAGGCCGCCAACGCCGTCCCCAACCCCTAAGCCCATGCAGCCCTTCCTGTAGCCTGTCCCCAAGTACTCTCCCAGCTCCATCGCAAAAACAGTTGGGTTCAAGATGGCCAACCGCATCACTTCAGCGGATGCGTGCTCCGTGGTATCCAGCATTCCATCAAATGGTTCTTCGAGATGCAGCGATTTCACAGACCACAAACGAGCCACAGCAGTAAAGACGACCGTCAGCCGCAACAAAGCCAGCGGTTGTGCCGTCCAGATGAATGGTCCGGTCGCGGGCACGATCAACAACAATAACTTTACCTTGTCAGTTTCTCGCTCCCCAAGCTATTTAGAGACAGGTTCTGACAAAATCCCAAGCAAGAAATTAATCATCAACTGCTCGTGCGGCTTGAATTCAAGGAGTGCTTCCCACAAAGAAACGGCGCGGTCGCTACCTAGCAGTGCACTCAAGACTGTCCCTCCGCGAGAAGAGCCGAAAGTGTCTATCGTGGAGATTCCGGTGAGATGAGACTGCATTGTTGCTCAGCGTGAGAGAGTTGATGTCAGTCAGGGTGGTAACCAAAACCTGCCACATATTCCTGCACAAACTCTGGGCATCAAATCATCAAGTGGAAGACCCCAGGGAGTGCGCGCCACGTTCCAGGCCGGCGTCCCTGACAATTTCATTGCGCACAGGATTGTCAACCGTTTGGAGCTCTCGGCCCGCAGCGACCCGTCGTTGGTAAAGGTGCTCTTTTGGGGTGGAACGCCTCTTCCCTCGACAAACGACTTTGTCGATCTCGCTTGCTACAAAGACGACAGCGACGAGTGCACTGTATACCGCCTCTACGTCATCAAAAAATGCCCATTCGACCTGCTGTTCGGCGTTACCTCCATCGATTCTCCTCAGTGATTCGAGGACCTTTCAACTCGGTCCATTCACTCGAGTGGGACAGTCTGCTGCCTCTAGCGCTCCAGTTCGAATGAAACCTCTCAGATGAAGGCACTCTTATCCCGTGACCGACTCTAGACGAAGTCTGGGTTCGCGCGGAATCTCAGCTACCAGCGTCTGAAACATCAACTATCCTCGCCATTGGACCACCTCTCACTTTCTCTCATCCTATTGGGCACCTTGATCTCTTTCGCCATTGGGCATTCCTCTCTCGTTTGCCACCGGCCTCCCCCCACCTTATCGCCATTGGACACACCCACCACCGCCTCCCTCTCATTTGGCATCACCGGTGTGAACATAGGTCTCTTGCCGATTTGCGCCATTGGCTGCAGGTCCCTTCGCGACAGCATATCAGTGGTGGACATCGCCCACGTCTGCATGCAAGCCGCGAACCTGTCAGCAAACCACTCACACTCCATGGTTTCAATGCGCAATCAGGACTGCGCCCCAGAAAGAGCGTCGGTGAGGGCGTACGACCGGCTCAGCTGCGCGAGATAAATGCCGTCTCACCCACCGTGATGCGAATGCAGCCTGCGTCGCTTTTACTTTCCGTTGGATTATTTGTACCTGGCTGCACATCAACGTACCCCGCAAAACACCATGGTAAGATTTCAGTGTCCTTATTGGGAACACTCGCTTAAGCGTCATGATAGGCCGAAGTCGCCGCCGTACTCGCCGCACTCCAAGCCACCACTCAGTTTCTGGAACAAGCATTCCGCGTCCTCGGCCGGCTCCGACGCGCACATCATCGCCAAGTGGGTCTTGTGGACCTTTTGCTTCGCCACGAGACCGAACTCAAAAGCGTCAAAGCCATCATCGGCATCATCGATGATGAAGAAGAATTGCGGACGGCTAGCGTCGTCACCGAACTGTACCGGCTGAAAGACGTCGAGAGCAAGCTGGTCAAACTACTTGAGGAGCTGGACCCAAAGCCCTCGGGCAAAGTCAAGCAGTTTGCGCGCCAATTTGTGCAGGGGTCTGCTGATGAGAAGAAGTTGTATGGCATCATGGATGAGCTAGCGCACGTGAAGAGCGACCTTTTGCTGCGCATTCAGGTCGCTAATGTCGGCGTGATGCGCATCATGGGGAAGCAGCTCGTAGCCAATGCGGAAGTCATCCAGAGAATTGACCAGTTCCTTAGGGAAGAAGTTGGAAACTGCGAGGGCCTCCGAATTGCACGACTGCTCAAGGGCAGACGGCCGTCCAGTGAGTCTTCCGACACTTTTACTCCCGTTCGCGAGCGCGCCGCTAACGAAAGCAGACGATGGCACGGTGCCGTTGACTCCTGCCGACCTAAAAAAGCTAGCTGAAGAAGACAGCGAGGACAGCTCAGACGAAACCCTCGTTGACGAATGCGAGTCCCCTGCCCGCCCTTGCCCAGCAAAGGTCGAACGCATCATCCTCCGAAACTCGGCGCGAGACCAAGCGTTCCAGATCAACGCTGCGTTTGGGAAAGATGTTTGGAGAGATGTTGACCGCCTCGTCATCGAAGACAACGAAGTTTGTGGCAATGCTGTGCAGATCAATTATGCCATAACCTTTGACGGAGCCAAGTTCTTGCGAGACTGGCAGAAGGAAACGGTGAAGGCGGCGCAGCACGGTTCGAGACCACGGCGAGATAGTGGGCAAGATTCCTAATGCAAAAGCTTCACACTGAACAATATCAGCTTTTCCTGCTTCAACATTCTAGTTAACCAGCCATATATTGTGAGGCACTGTATGATAGGCAACCAAAAGGCACCAGAAAAGCAACAGATAGTATTCGTGGAGATAAAGAGAAAGACGAATTCTTATAGAGACGTGATCATATATACCAGCACTAAATAGAGACCGGCACGTGACCATAGCCGGCCGGCGATATGCCTGTGTCTATCCTATAAGAAAGCGAAGGTAGGCGTGACAACGCCACTCTACAGCTCAAAACGGCTTCAGCAGATCCAACTGCTTAGTCTCCATTTGCCAGCTATTAGCCTTGTACCCGTTCTTCAGGTAATCTAAGCCCGGAAGTTTGATTCTTGAAGGTGCCAAACGACTGCAGAGTACACTGACGCATCGCGTAGCGCGACTAATCCCGAAGCAACTTGGTTCCCATGTGGGCCGAGTAACAGTAGCACAGACTATTTGTAAAAAACCAGCAGGTCTCCGTTCCCCGTTCATGGCTCCACGACCACGATATACTTCGCTCAGTTCGGTCCCGCGTCGGGCAGCGCAACGCTCCTCTACCACATCGCACGGCCTGACTTTTCAGAAAAATCAGTTCAATGACTCAAGCCTTTCGCACAAGGCCTGTTCTCGCTGAAAAACCTGTACTAGGGCTTTGCCGGGTTCGAGTTCATAGCCCAGATCTTTATGGCCTAGATAAGGTGAGTATCCATTGCGATCGTCGCATAACCGCCGCGACTTGCCCAGGTTATTCATGTATGAGGAGAGTTTATGCATCGAATCTGAAGGCGAGCTCACTGTTCGAGCAGCCAAGGCTGGATGCTCTGGATCAACGACAGCAGGGTCTTAGCGCCGTATATACTGGCAACGTTTTCGGTACTGTTTGGGCTCGAGTTTGTGGCGAACGCTACCATTTTCTTCCTGTGTATCGGTTAGACCGGCTTCTCGTAACATGTGGCAGAACTCACCAGTACCGATGCACGCATATGAGTTCAGCAGTGCCAGCGCCAAATCACGTTCTCTCTTGATTGTCTTCTCTAATTACTTTCTTCGAATCAAAATCTAATGTCATGCTTCTATTCTATTTTTAACCTTAAGAATGCATATGCTAAGCGCTGTTTGTAGAATATAATGTAACGGTACGGAGCCACACACGTGACCTATAGACCCCGAAGTATATATTCAGCTCAGCAGATAGCTTCTTACAATCAGCTTAGTCCCTCATTTTGACCCCTCATATCCTCGGTTACATATAAAAACTAAATTTACTAGTCTAAACATCAGCCACAGAGGCAACAACAGAGGACTAAAGCTATAAAATCGCAATGACTGTGAGAGAGACGATCCCCATAATCAACGCCAAACACCAAGGATTCCGGCTTCCGGTGCAACAGACGTTTCCAGTACAACAGAAGATGTCTCCAATCACAAATTTCGGCGCTGGGGGTGGGGTTCCGGCCCGTTCGACGTCTGCAGCCCATGGAAGTGGTTCAGTTTTCTCCACAATTGGATCAAGCGGCCTAGGCTCCGACGTCGATGACTTCTGTGGCTTGAGTTGGGCCTTTTCGAAGGTTCTCCGAGGGGATGTGTAGACACGTTGACCACAACTCGGGGTCGCGTTTGTCGAAATTGCAAAGGAAGTCCTTCAATACATTCAGTAGAGTGGCCTTGCCGTCATCGTTTTCCACCGCTTTGTCGGGATGGGAGACGAGCATTACCCTCCGATAGGCCCTTCGGATGTCTTCGAGTTGGGCCTCCGGTGTGAGGTTCTGTAACGCGTACGGATCGAGACCGAGGAGATCAAATATATCTACTTGACGAAGGTTCGGAAAGTCTACGCCGACCATCTCTAATCTGTCCGAGAAATGAGTTGGGTGGAAAAGCTGTGAGTGAGTCTGCGCGATTCCAGAGTCACCAAAAGTGACCAAAATCTGATCGAATATCGGGTCGAATGTTGTGGTGACAAGCCAGAACTCTTGTGAGGTGGGCATAGCTTAAGTATGGTCCGGTGGGTGGAGTGACCTGGTTATTCCATCTTCTTTTGTCGGTAAATCGTGCCGCCATGGCGGCTGCCTGCGCGGTGTTTATGCAAACTGAAAGATCTGCCGTGTCCAAGGTGGCGTAAAGCGCCGAGTTCCGGTCAATGGCGTCCACACGCTGCAGAGAGTGACGCAAATCCCTTCCAGATTTGTGGCTGAGCGCGATGGGCACATTAATGCCGCCCAGCTGACGTTAATCGATGTGGCAAATCACAAACGCATGAAGGCCGACGCAGCTCTGCAGGTGTTACAGCTAGGAGGATCAAGCTATGCAAGGAGCTGGTTAACGGATGTGATGCACCTGGAGAGTCAAGTCATATGCTCACCTTGGCTTCGCGGCCTCCGCGGCCGACTCGGCTCCCTGCTCTTTCTGGCTGAGAGCGCTAGTCTTAGCACAGCCCTTTCTGAAGCCTGCTTGGGCGGTGATACTCGGGTGGCCGGTGCATGATGGAGACACCAAGGGGCAGACTCGATTGACAGGCGTGATACAATAGTGTGCGCCAGATGCCTCCCAGCTATAGACATTCCATGGTGACAATGAATTCGCAGCCGAACAACCCTCGATAGGCGCGTAGGGCGGGGTAGCTCCTGTTCGTGTGTACCTCTTCGGATGGCCGGCTGACCTCCGGAGGCGAGGTGGCCGCCGTCATGAGACAGAGATGCGTTGGGACGGACGTGCTAGATTTATGCACAGCCAGCCGATCGTATACCGCGAACCAGCCACTTCCAGTGTCGATGTACTCCATCGGCGGCATTATTCCATGCTAGCGCGATGTTTCGCACATGCATGGGCAGAGCAAGATTACTCCGGCAGTTGAGCGTGGGGCTTAGCTAAACCGATATGTCGATATGGGCACTGTAGCAAAGCGTACTGCCCCGACTTCTGGCAAGAGCGTTCGAAGTACTCGCCGGAATGCTGGATATCAAAGGCTGTCTCGTCTAGATGGGAAACCGCAAGCACTCGAGTATACCGCACGGGGTTTTCAGATATTTCCACTATCGCATCCGTCCAGCCAATACCGATGATGGAGAGAATGATCTGTGAGAGCGAAAGGACCAGTGTAAGCCGAGCAAGCACCCCTACGGTGACAAATGCTGAGGCCTGTTGGTGCACCGTCAGTGACCCCGGGATCATCACAGCCAGAGCGATGAAGTTGGAGAAGTATGAATCATTCTATCACACTATTTCCATTCGCGAACCCAACTAATCCATGACAAGGGAACAAGTGACGGGCCTACCTGCGACGAATGCCCGATAGAAGGGCACGGAGAGGAAGGATCACCGTATCTTATTCATGGCGAGTTACGATCTGCTCCACTTTGTAAGTCCTTCCGCACATGGAGAGACACCGTGCTTATGTATTAGGGGCCGTCATACTCTGGAACAAGGTCAATGGGCTTGTGCAGGATGTGAGAAATCTTCAAGGATCGGACCTCTGGAGGCGTCTAAGACAGTATGATGACACATTATACAATTTGGACTGGAAACTCGGGGACTTTAAAATCAAACTGGACGATCTTGAATGCAGGATCATCGATCTCGAAGGTGAGATGATGGCCCGAGATGAACAGGCTGAGGGGGTGGGGGAAACCGATGAGGAAATTGCAGTAGCATTTGATCAGACATTCCAGTAACTCGATCGGTGTGAGCTCATCTTTACAGACCCATCGGGATATCTCCTTCCAAATAAACCCAATAATGAAGCTAGTGGAGCCCACCCCAGGACGATAGAGGATAGAACTAGCCGATGGTGGATGAGGTGTGACGCTTTTGATTACGTAAACCAACCCTGGCGTTTGGAATCGGAAAGACTCCGGCCGGCGAGGAAAAGGGAAAAGGTAGGGGAGAATGTCTATAAAAGTACTAAGCCACCAGGTTTTGCCATTAGTAGATATTCTAAGGGACAAAGCCGGTAATTTCCCCGCCACTCGTTTCTCTAGTCAGCCTCGCCATTACACATTAATACTAGGGGTAGTTAGTTACTTCTACTTAGCATACCTAGTAGTGCTCGCAATTAGAGAGTGCGGCTATGCATGCTTCGTTATAGTAGATCTCGAATCTTCGACGCAGATCTATTATATATAGAGTCTTTGTATATAGTATAATATACTTTATAAGTAAGCTAGTTATATAAGCAAGCTAGTTACTTTCTCTTAGCAAGAAAAATTAATAAAAATTAACTTATATTTCTTAAATAACTAAGCGTATTACAGTGTAGATAAGAAATAAGAATTTAAGGTAACGTACTTAATAAATAAACGCTCTAGATAAATAAATACTCTAAAAATACTAAGCCTCTACTAAATACTACTATCTCTATTATAAAGCTCTCTATAAATATCTAATTAACTTTAAATAAATTCTAGATATAGCTTACGCTTTAGACTATTTAATAGAACCTAGAGCTAAGCTTATAGCGCGCTATAGCTCTTTATAACATAAAGTAGAAGAAAGTCTACTATTAATATAATAGAGTTACTCTATAACGTAAAAAGATATCTAATTTAATAAAGCTTATAAAGAATAAAAAGTAGGTAATAGTTAAGTATATACTTAACCTAGATACGTAAGAATTTACTCTCTAGCTTACTACTATTTAAGATATAGCTAATAAGCTACTTAATAAGTAGAGTAAAAAGAGAGTAGAGAAGAAGTAGCTAAATAACTTTATTATATACTATTCTAAGCTTAAAATATAGCTTAATTATAAGTATAACTATTAGAAAGTAGAGTAAAAAGATTCTATAATTATTTAGATATAGTTTAACCTAGTAAGTAATATAAAGATATATATAATTTTAATAAATCTAGCTTTATAATAGAAATAATATTATTTTAGATAGTAGTTACTAGCTCTAAGAGATAATTATAACTAAAGAGTCTTTAACTAGATAATTATAAGTAGATTTTAGTAATTATAATAGTAAAAGTAGTAGATAATATATAGATTCTACTATTTTTTATTATTATAAGTAAGAGCTATCTCTTAGTATAGTATAAAGATAGCTAGCTACTATATAACTAGGTTATAGCTATCTCTAAAAGTAGCTAGATAATAAATAAAGTTAGTATTATAATATACTTTACTATTAAACTATCTATACTATTAAACTACCTACACTATTAAACTATAACGTCTATCTAGCTAGGCATCTTTTAGAACCTACTTAGCCTACCTATAGTTACGTAGTAGTCTAGTATATAGCTTAGTCTTTTTCTATTCTTACTCTATAAGAATTTAACTATATACTAGTACTATCTAATATATTATATTACTACTTCTTAGTATATTATCTATCTATTTTACTACTTACCTTATAATTTAAATTCTTTATACTTTTATATAGATAGGTAGCTAGTCTTAATATACTCTACTAGTAATTAACTTCTTTAAAAAATTTAACTATAATAGCTAATAGCTAAAAAAGTAATAAGTATACTTTTTATAAAACGCTAATACTATAAACTAATACTAGTCTATCTATATTCTAAGATATCTTTAACGTTAATCTATAACTTTATAGTAAAATATAATATTACTACGTATAAAACTATCTTAAAAAGTTACTAGAGAGTAATAATAATAAAATTACTCTAGAAGAAAAAAATACTAGAGACTCTAAATTAGACTAAGACTAGTCTAGCTATAGGTTTCTACTAGAAAACTCTTATACTAATAGTAGCTTATAATTACTAACGTAAGAGATCTCTACGCTAAACCTTTCTAAGAATAGAAATACTACTTTACTCTATTATAGAAACTCTTTATAGTATATAGATAAGATTAGAGTATTATACTATACTATCTTAGAAAACTCTTATAAAGCTAGAGTATCTTTAGCTCTAGCTACTAATTATAGTCTAACTCTTGCCTAAGACCTCTCTAGTTCTAGCTAATTAGATTCTATTTAGGTATATAAGCTTAACCTTTTTAAACGCTAGAATAACCTTTAGATAGTAGAAGCTCTAGACTATAAGGTTAAGAGAGCTAAGAAGGTATACTATAAATTCTTAGCTAGGTTTAACCTATATCTAGAAAGGTTCTACAAAGTACTTATAGCCTCTTTAGTAGAGAATTACTAAAAGGTAATTATTAGCTTACTCTAATTCTAGAATTTCTCTAAGCTTAGTATACTAAAGAAAGCTCTAATAGTTTAATAAATTAAGCGCTAGATCTATCTAATAATCTAGTAAATAGAGCTATACTTTATAACTAAGAATTCTACCTAACGTACGCGCTAGGTAGCTACTCTAGTTAAATATAATACCTATTATAATATTTTAGATTAACGTACTTTACTAGCGAACCGTCTATACTACCGAACCGCCTACGATTTCTTGGCAAGGAAAATTAACGAAAATTAACAAGCTTTTCTTAAATAACTAAGCGAAACCTTAATATTTTTCTATAAAAATTTAGATATCTATTCTCTATAGTATATTACACGTTAGACTAAAGTTATACTAAGATATATTACGTAATTAAAAAGCTATACGTATTTAACTAACTTTTAAGAAAAATCTAGTTTACTTCTAGTTAGTACTATTATATTTCTATAATAATATATAAAACTTATAGTATATAGTATCTATAACCTAGTAAAGGTTTCTAGAAAACTTCTATAGAGCTAGCTCTTCTAGGTATAGCGTAATAAGAGAAAGAAGTTTTAAAAAGTCTTTCTAGAGTTTTCTTCTCTAACTATAGATATATATAAATAATCTAGCTATATAAAGTTATAAATTATAAGATTATATATACTATAAGCCTTCTATATATTTAGAAGTAATAATTTTAAGATAGTTTTAATATCTTTCTATCTTTCTATACTATACTACTAAAAAGGCTTTACTTTTAAATAACTACTTAAAGCTACTATATTATTAGTTAATAAGCTCTATATTATTAAAGCCTACTATAATTTATAAAATAATAAGTTTATAGAGCTAGATTATTTATATATATCTATAGTTAGAGAAGAAAACTCTAGAAAGA